TGAAAGCAGCTCAAGTTTTTGGTTTAAAAGTACAATTTCTTCATTTATTAGAGCCTCAGAAAAGTTATGAAAAGAATTTGTTCTTGTTCGAAATTGTACTTTTACGTAAGAAATGCGTCGTATGTTACGACTGTTTTGTTACTTCAATCAGTTTTTCGATTCGTTTGATGACGTGATCGGCATCGGTCCAGGCGATGTCGTTAGTACCTAGCACAAACGTAAGGCTTGTACGGTCGTTAAGTATGTAATCAAGATGGCCGGAAGAAATCTGCTCAATATAGTCGGTAGTTTGAAAACCGGAATTTGATTTAATTTTTACGGTAAAATAAGGATTAGCTAATTGAGAGGCTTTTACTCGAGCAGCCATAGAAGAAGAAAGGATGACATGCTTATATTTACTATTAATTTTTTGTACTTGCCTAGTATTATTTCCATTTGATTGTTTTTCAATATTGCGCGTTGATTGTGTTCTTCGATGACTATCGTTATTAATTTGCGGTCGTAATGACGGATGAGGCGGTGAGTTTCGTTTTGGAAGTCGAGCTTTTCTGGCCTCTGTTGGCGAACTGGTAATATCATCCATTTCGTCCATTTCAAAGTCATCCGGTGGTCGTAGAATGTCGTACGGATTAACAGACATTAATGGTTGCAAAGTTGTTTGTTGTCGTTCATGAACCGTTTTCGCGTAGGACGTCGGAATAAATTTATTTTTTGTATGTTATATAGTCCTCAGTAGAAAAGGATATTCAGATAGTCTGCTTCTCTGACAAGATTCATACCTATATTTCACTTTTATCTAAAAATATGGCCGTCCGCATAGATTAACATCTTTTTAATATAGATATTTTCTTATATAAAGGCATGATATTTGATAATTTCTTCACCGTTTCCAGTTAGCTTCACTTCGTTCTCTTCAATTCAAGACTTTCTTATATAAAGGCATGATATTTGATAATTTCTTCACCGTTTCCAGTTAGCTTCACTTCGTTCTCTTCAATTCAAGACTTTGAAAAAGAATTCGAAAGCGCTCCTTGAGTTTATTCTGCTATGATGACTATTTTAATTTAATTATTTTCTAACATATATATACTTATGGGGAAAATGTGTTTTGTTGATCACCACATTTCTTTCAATCAAAATGATCACCAAAAAATAGCACTTTTGAGCACCAAATCAATTAAAGAAAATATATATAAGAAGAATATATAGTAATGAATTAGCAATGATCACCTCCCAATCGATGAGTAGACAGACAAGAAAGAGAATAAAAAGAAAGTATATACAGGAAGAAATATGAGCAGAACAGAAGTTTAATTTCAGCGATTGAAATTTTTAGATAATCATTCATGTTCTTTTAAAACACAAAAATAACGATAACACTCATAAAAATAGTCGAACATTCAACGATCAAGATAGATAGCCTACGCTAAACATCTCTTCTCAGCATTTAAATGTCTTTCTATTTTTATTTATAATTATGAGAACAAAGAATTAAATTATATTTCGAGTTAAGAACAAATGGCGCCGGACAATCAACACTTACAAATCACTGCACAAGTGAGACAGCGGAAGTTGCTGAATCGATGTTTAAGTTTTTGACTCAGCATCTCCTAAAAGTTTGGTCAAGATCCGACTTATAGTTTCAGAGATAGGTTTCTGACGAGAGGGGCGGCTTTAGAAAATCACAGGCAGTGTTGGCAACTGTAAACCTGATTAAGGCAAATGGCTGCGCCTATTTATGAAGACCTATCCGTTCGCTAAAATAGATTTTAGAATATTCTTGCTTTTCTAGAAAATTTTTATATATTTAAGTGTGCATTTTTTAACTTATTAGAATGGCAAATGTTATATGCTCAGCATCCTAAAGGACAAAGAATAATGTTGACTTGTATATGAATGGGATATTTGATTAACGTGGGAAATAATAGAGTTTTGCTTATAAGTCATTGCACGAGTGAGACAGCTTTTTTGCGTACCAGTTGCTCAATCGATGTTTGAGTTTTTGACTCAGGATTTTACTGTAGGTAGAGGCAGCATATATAGGAAGATTCCCAAAATTCTTTCCTTCGGACTTATTTCGTTAAAAAGTTATAGAACTTTTCGTAAAAGCCCTAAAAATAGTCTAAAACGATACTTCTATAAAAGTCAAATTTCTGATGTTTATATCTTGGTCTAGGAAGTTGATTACGAGCTCGTATTTGCAGTATAAGTAGTCGAGGTCGGATACTATCTATAACCAAGAGCATATGCAAAAATAAGTTTTACATATGTGCGAAGATATGCGTACAAGATGGTAAAATTTTGCTGAGACGAACAGTTTGGAGTAATTTTTTTAACCTAAAAGATTTCTTGTTGCATTAAGTGTTACTTCTATCCATTGTACAAGTATATTTGTACTATAAATTATGAAATTGATCCATACAAGTCTCTTGTTGATGCACGGCTGAGCTCGAAAGTCCATAGAAAACGAAAAATCGCCGACTTTCCAGTCGATTTTCTTCTAATATATGAACTCAATACTATTCATGCCTGAAAGCAGTTTTTTGGAGGATTCACATATGGCTGTGGCAAGGGTCTCTGAAAATCCGTTTTTTGAAGTTCACTTACGAGGGAGCATATCTAACTGATCAATCGCTTTTTCCACCAAACCTAGTGGGTTATAGGTTATCGACCACGCTGATTCCCAATATCCATATGAGACGAACCGCTTAGCCTTCCTAGAGCACTTTTCTAGAAAACTGGTTTTCCAGAAACCTCGAAAAATCTCCGAAACTTTCCCTTTAAGTCACGATAGTAGCCCATGAAATTATAATCAAACTGAGACATCTCCGACCTATACGCGACCTTTCTTAAGTACTAAAGTTATACCTATTCTAGTAAAACTCAAGGGAAAACAAGAAAGTTACGACCTTAGGGCCTTCCGTAAATGGAACGCTGTTGAATTGAAGAGGCTACCCAATGAGCTATAACATATTGTTTCAAAAGTTTGCCTTCATTTTAGTAGACTGAAGTTGGGTTTTTTTGAATTTTTATTTTCAACTCGGTTTTGCATTTTTGGAAATATTCAATAGCTGTAAACTGATCTTCTAAACGATTGAGTGGCTGTATTCACGAGTGAATTCGGAAGTTCTTTGCGCTTTCCTGCCAGAAAAGCTCAAAAACGTCCAGAATCCTGCTAAAAATCGAAAAATCTTTCATAATTGAAGCAACTGGAGTTGAACGGAAGTTCTACGGATTTCTGTTGAGAGCGTTGGAGTGGAGTTGGAGTTGCCCAGCCCTGTTTTACTGCCATAAGTTTTATCACACGATTTCTATTTCTACGGATACACTTCACGATGATGACATTCAGGTATTTACCAAATACACACCATACGAAGTAATGTTTGGACAAGAATCCGGTTCGGATTTTTGGAAAATTAGTAAAGATCAAAATATACAAAAGGAAAAAAACTTGCCGATCGAACAACCAGAAGAATCTCGTGAATCAACAAATCCTTATGCACTTATCAATGAAGTATTAGCAGCTTGGCTGTATAGATATTATATTCAAAATTATAGAAAAGAATTGAAGTAAAATCATTTTACATACAAACAGCGAGCTTTCGACACTATCACAGTATCATCATCAGGCGAATGACTTTTGAGAGAGAAGAGAGACAATTATATACAGACACTTTCTATTTTTATATGCTTCTTCATCATCTTCTCCACATATCTCAAGGTAGCCAACACTGATCGTTCATATTTGGATCCGATCAATTCAAATATATTGATGCTTTTTGACTTTTTTACGTTTTTAATGATTAAAAACGCAAAAAAGTCAAAAAGCATCAATATATCTGTATAGATATGAACAACAGCTAACACTTGATCAACACATACAGATTTTAGTTGTTTTTCGCGTACAAAATGCGGCTCTA